CCTATGTCAAGTACTTCCCACATTTCATCATGAAGAGCACAAATGTGTACCTTCATCCGGATTCTCCAATCATCAAACTTAAGATCTGAAAACATAAGATTCTTGGAAAGAGAGTGATCCATAATAAGAGATTAAACAGAGGCAGAGTAAACAAGTGGACCTTTGTTCAACAGGTAACCTAAAAGATTACAAGAACAAGGAGGTTCTGATACCACTTGTTGGTCCCGGTTGTAGTGGGTACAGTCTAGAGGGGGGGGGTGAATAGACTGTACCAGTTTTTAACTTTTTCAAGCTAAGTACCAGATTTAACAGAATAGCCTGTTCTGTTGGAAGAACAGACTGGCAGCGGATGGTATTCTGGTAAGAGTTCTGTCTGGTTAGCCTCACAGAAAAGCAAAGGCAATAGGCCTTCTGTTAACTCACAGAAGGGGTTCTACTGAACACAAAGACCAAATCTATGGAGTTAAACAGTTTAAAGTAAATGCAAGAATTAAAAGCAGTAAGTAAATGACACCAGGGATTTTTATAGTGGTTCAAGGAACAACTCGTTCCTCTAATCCACTGTTCCACTAAGCTTGTAAAAAACCCAATTACAAAGCCTCAGCCCTAGCACTTAAGAATCTCTCCACGTCTTCTTCAAGCCTAGATGTCTCCTGGGATGCACTTCCTTGCTTCCTTTAAGACTGGTCCTTTCACTGAGCTTCCTTGAAGTATCACCACTTCACTACTCCAGTTACTTAGACGTCCTTCTCGTTAGAGAAGAGTTCTTGTGAGAACAGGGGTTTTCCAACTTGCTTCGTTACAAAAGATATGTAGTTGAAGTGCTTGAAGTGTTGAAGAACAGTTGGATCTTTGCTCTTGTTGGGATATGAAGATAGAAAAATATTATCTTCCCAACGTCCGCCTTTCTTGTTGATGGAGGTGAAGTTTTAATCTCAAGAAGGCTTGTGCGTTTGAATGTTTGAATATCTTTTTCGAGAAAAAAGTCTAGCAAAGTTACTTGGTCATTCTTCGAGTAGTATCTCTTATACTGAGGTTGTCTTCCCGTTGGAGGAGGAGGACAACTGCATTAAATGCGAATACAGTTGACTTGACCAGTAGGACCCGGTAAAGTTGGCGAGTTGCTATTTTGGGATAAAGTTATCCTGACATTTCGGTCAATCATCTGTATTTACTCTTTAGCGTACGGGGTGCATTAAATGTGCATTTAATGTGCATACTGTAGCTTTCCCATTCAAGTCTCCTAGCAGTTGAAGGAATCTTCAGTTGGTTTCACCGGCTAAAGTAGTTTCATGAAAATTCTCTAAGTGTCAGGCCTTCTGGTATCTTCTGCAGAGGGTCAACCAGAGAGGGTCTCGAGCACTTCTGTTGGAATAAGCTACCAGAGGGTCCTTAGGTCTTCTGTCGAGATGCGATCCAACAGAGGGTCTTGACAGATTCTGTTGAAGTGAAGTCCAACAGAGAACCAGGGGGTCTTCTGTCTGGATATGAACCAAGAGAGAACCAAAGGTTTTCTGTTCAGACTAAGTCTATCAGAGGGTCTACTGTCAGGAGGTCTTCTGTCAGTCGACTATTCTACGAAACATTACAAGGAAAATTTCTAATACAAAAATCCTAAAGGGGGTACTCTAACGTCCTAATTAGTATAACATCATCAAAATCTAATTACAATTATTCCTTACAATTTGTTATTAAGTGTTATATTTAGTATTTCTCTTTGCTCAAGCTTGTATAGTTGTATCACCTCAAATTTTCTTTCCCAAAAATAATAAAATTGAAATAAAATCTCTATTGATTCATAATAGAGTTGAAAAAATACAACGAGAGTTTTAAAATGAAAGGGTGTTACCGCCACATCCGACCACACACGACCGAATGCATAGGCAATCCGAAAACAAACTAAAACAAGTGTTCAAAACCGCTCTTAGAAGCAAGCAACCATCAATCAACATACTCACCATCACATGTCAAATGATAGGGGAAGGGAGGGAGGACACACAAATAATTACTAAAATTCTCATGACGCTAAGTAAGTACTACTCAATTCCATAAAATAGGTTTGGTTTGGAAAAATACTTTTTAGATAAGTATATACCCAGTTTGACTTTGAAAATAATCTCCATAGTTCTTCTCTTCCAAAACCAATGTCACCATGTATCCTACTTCCTTTTAAGATGGGCAGTGCTTTCAGGGACTTTTCCTCGAAGCCCAATGAGTCGTTGTTCCTTACGAACTCACCCCGGAATCTAGTTCCCACCTACTCTACTGTTGGAATCGAAACGACTACCTTAAGTGTGCACCCCTATAAGGGATTTCAAAGCCTCGAGTAGTAAGCCGTAACGAGTAGTCGGAACGCAGTCTACCAACTACCCCACCTCTAGAAAATCATAAGTAACTAGAAACTACTACTACTACACCTAAGATCAATGATCCAAATGTCGGGTTGGATACCGACCTACCCAAAACTGTACTCCAAATAGTAGTAGCCCTAACCACCCTCCACATTTATCCGGATGTGAATAACTAACACCCCAGATTTCTCCCGTGGTGCCACCTCTTATGAAAATATTAATTTTCATCTTAAGTCAAAATGTACTTCAAAATATTTCTCAAGTTCTCAAACTAGTCTCAATGTTATTTAGAAATTATCTAATACTCCAAAGTATATAATTAACACTCCTCAAAATAATCTAGATTTAATATCACTCCAAACAATACATATACATAATCCAAAATTCACACTTCAATCACATATCACATAATTGTATAATATGAAAAAAATTGGTTGGCAGAGAAACTTATCTTAATTCCTGACGCTCCTAGTTCTCCTCCTCTATTCTGGTCTCTAAATAATTACCTTTTTAATTGAGATGTAACAATTAGTCACTTATTCTATTCAAAATAATTTATCTTATTCCCCCTTATGTATTATTATTTGAATTCATTAATATGTTTAATTATTACTTAAAAATTTAATTTATCCATTACTTATTCACTTTGATTAATCCTACCACTTTATTTATTAATCCAACTTATTGTTAATTGCTATCATTAATTCAGTCTTATTTTATTAAATAATCTAATATTCAAATATAATTATGTTTATCCCCACATTATATTCTAATAGTATTAAAATATTTGATTTCTTTAATTTATATTACTTGTAACACCCTTTCATTTTAAAACTTTTGTTGTATTTCTTCAACTCTATTATGAATGAATAAAGATTTTATTTCAATTATATTTTTGTTTTGGGAAAGGAAATTTGGGGGTGTTTCAAAGCTAGTAGCTTGTTTTGGCTAATTAGTTTTCTCAAGTAAAAGGAAAAACAATGTTCCAATGGTAAGATATTAGGTTCAAAATTGCAAGCAAATCCTCAAAAGAAACGATTAGAGATGCTCTTACAAAGCTTAATTTTAGACAAATGCTCATTTCATTAATTAGATGTGTACAGATCCCACACCGATCAAGTATGGGCTTGGCCGATGGCTTATAAGCAAGGTGTTCCTTCCCCCTAATCGGTTGGTCTTTTGGAAGTGAGTTCTACACCTGAGCTTATGGCACTGGTATGAGCTAGGTCCGTAATAGTTGGTATCAGAGCCATCCCATCTTCCTTGTCCCGACTCTCGGAGCGGTGGCCTATGGAGTGGTGGCTTGGACCCTAGGGGGTGCCAACCGTGACCAACGAGGACGTTGGCTCTTCGAAGCGTGAGTTATTGTAAAGATCCCACACCGGTCAAGTATGGGCTTAGCCGATGGCTTATAAGCAAGGTGTTCCCTCCTTCTAATCGGCTGGTCTTTTGGGAGTGAGTTCTACACCTGGGCTTATGGCACTGGTATGGACCTAGTATGGGCTAGTTACTAGACGTGGAAGCTGAGCCGGATTATGAAGCAGTCGTGGACCGGGAAGTGAGTTGGCAGCTGAATAAACGTCTTAGTGGTTATCAGTTGTAACCGTTAGTTTGTTAGATTAGTTCAGCTCATGTATATAGCTAGCTCACTGTATGTACTAACACTTATGTTGAATATGATAATTCATCTTCTTCTCTAACTTCTCTACTTCCCTATTCAAATTCATTACTTCTTGAATTCCTATTTCTCTTGGTTTCTCGGTCAAACACCCTGAACCATAACAAATTAGTATCAGAACCATCCCCATCTTTCTTGTCCTGACACTCGGAATGATGGCCTATGAAGTGGTGGCTTGGGCCCTAGGGGTGCCAACTGTGACCAACGAGGACGTTGGCTCTTCGAAGCGTGGGGTATTGTAAAGATCCCACACCGGTCAAGTATGGGCTTGGCCGATGGCTTATAAGCAAAGTGTTCTCTCCTCCTAATCGGCTGATCTTTTGGAAGTAAGTTCTTCATCTGGGCTTATGACATTGATATGGTCCTAGTATGGACTAGGTCCGTAACAAGATGTATCATACACGTGGATGTATAGTATACGTATTTGGAGGGGTGTTTGACAAATAAGTGTACATTCGTTGCAATCCATTCCAAATAGGGTAGTTTTTCATTAGTTGGGAGTGAGCACGGTTGGGGGGAAAGGACATGCTCGCAGGGGTGGAAAAGGTAGGGAACATGATGTTGAATATAAACAGAGCCAACATCAAGGTAAAAAATGATGAAGAATCGAGGTGAGTTAAATCTTGATATTGACGAAGGAGGGTCTCTAATTTTTGTTTTTGATGATGGTGATAGAGGAAATAATAGTGGTTATAAACCCTATTTTAAACCACTAGATAGATATGATCTTAATTTTCAATCCTCTATCTGATAAAGTTTAAACTTTACAGGGTTAGGCTATAGTTCCTATAATATGATGTTGGAACCTACTATTTTGATGTGGTTATGACTGTTTAAATTTCTTGAACTTTAATGAATCTTTATTGAAAGAATGACACTAATATTACTTCTTAGCTTACATAAGACAAAAATATGATCAGAATATCATGTGGACAAAATTGTAATCAAATAATATTGAAATGATCAGAATACCCCTAACTAATAAAGCCCGATATCTGCCCCGTGCCATCCTATTTGAAGGAACTTCATCGCCATTACTGCTTGTGGTTGAAGAAGAACGCGACGGATCAAAGACTTTGCGTCGCCCATCTCCTCGCATCGCGCCGCCGCCAGCATCCCCTGCCTCACCATCGCGCTCGCCATTTCCCTTCCCTTCGCGCTGGTGACAGCGAAGGCACATATCGACATCACCTCCTTCGTGCCAGTCTTCCCCATATTCTCTGCGCCATCGATGCGACGGAAATCGACTCGCGATGCATATCTGGGCGTTGTGCTCGGTGACCATGCCTCCGCTAGTTCTGTCCTTTGCGATGGAGCGTCATCCGTGCTAGATCTGCTGTCCTCGATGGATTTGGTGGACAATGACTGGGATCTGCCACCGCGCCTCGCAGAGTGCGACGACTGTGGAGATGCGGTTGTGGTATGGGTAGGTTTTGGGCGAACTAACTTGGTTGGGACAGGACAGGGGGCAAGGGAGGAGGGCTGGGGGATCTTGTGCTTACGGCTAGGGGCAGCAGGGCAGGTTAAGGGCAGTGGTGGAGTCGCCAGATTTTTGGTCGGCGTCGGTACCCGGATGCGGCAACAACGGTGCTGGCGGCGGCGGCCGGCAGCGTGGGAGGAGGCTGGCGGTGGTTATAGGACTGGGTAAATGCTGTCGAGTAACTTTAGATTTGTCACTGTGGACATGTCACAACGGATGTGTCACTATGTCCGACGCGGGGCCCGGCGGGGGCCGGTGGGCATTGTAGCGAGTGTCACTATGTTGCGTGGCACTGTATCGGATGTCACTGCGACGGATGTCACGGCTACGGATGTCACTGCAAATTAGGACTAAATTAGTAAGCTTAAAGCTTATTAGTCACAATTCTGGATTTTTTTTTGAAAATGTCACTTTTTTTGTCATTTATCTAACTTCTAGTAATATTGAGGTCAAAACCCCATCTTTATTGGTAACTCTTGTACTCCCCCCGTTCCTATTTTATCTTCCAAATAGATTTGACACACAATTTAAGATAGTGGGTATTGTGTGGTGGAGAGTTGTGTTGAGGAGAGAAAAATGTGTAAGAAATGTTGTGAACCACAAATTCTTTACTAAAAAGGAAAAGTGGAAGTTTTAATTGGAACGGACGAAAAAGGAAAATTGGAAGTTTTAATAGGAACGGAGGGAGTAATAATTTTGCTGAAGAACCGAGGCTTATGCTTCATTGAGGCTTTCACAATACGTAGGTCTAGCCATTCGCTCTCACTATGCAATAATGTAGTTTTTTTTTTAATATTGGATGCACTCATGAATAGTGTATATATTCCAATGTTGCAATTAATGAGATACGGAGGATAGTATTTGTTTCTGAAATATAATACTACGTACCTTATACTCCTTTCGTCCCGAAAAAGTTGATCAAATTTCATTTTTTAGATGTTCCAAAAAGATTTGACATTTTTCATTTAAAGTAAGGAATATGTGGCTAAAATTAATTCTCTCTCCTCTATACAAATTCCAATCATACAATTTTTACTTTATTAATCCACGTAAAAGTAAACTTTGGCCAACCTTTTCGGGAAGAGAGAGTATAATATTAACGAAAATTTTACACAAAAGTCACCGGGGCCAAGTGCAAATTGTGGTCTGTCTAAGTTAGGACATTCCGAAGGTTTAGGACTCGAATCCATATGGGTTTTTGTGAGTTTTTATTTTTATTTTCCCCCTTTTGAAGCATTAAACAAATTTAAAATAGCTTTACATAAGAAATTATCTCGTCTTCTTAGCAAGATTTAAAATATATCAATATAATCAAAACTTTAGTTTCACATATGATTCATAAAATTTAACAATTATGTAGTACATTTTTGTAAATAACATAAATTGATTTTTAATATACTTGTAAATTCGCATCTTAAGTTAATTTTAAGTACCCATTTGATCCTTTCCTAGTTTCCTTATTTGATTCACTTATTTATCAACACAGTTTTGAACAAATTACAAACGCTTTGTAATTAAAATTTGTTTCTAACAAAGTCATATTTATTTACTATGAATTTTAAGTATGATATCAAAAAGTTTTTGCACGGTGAATATTTTGTTATTTATAATCGACTTTACAATATTTTTCTTAATGAGGTGAGTCCGTGATAAAATTTAAGGCAAGTTTGCCCCTACTCACGAGTTTCCTGCCCAGTGATTTTCTTCACAATTTTCTTATTGTCTATACTTCTGCCGTATCTGCTTACAAATTCAGCGTTTCAAAATTTGGCTTTTGACTGAACAAAATTCATTGCCTCCTGTTATTATTCTTGAAAACTAGAGTACACAGGTGAATGTGGGTTTCTTTATCATGGTACCTTCTTGTAGCCTTGTGACACACACACACTCACTACGTATCATAGATTGCCAAGCACACTCGTGTTTCAGAACAACTTTACGAGCCCGTTTGGTGACCCTTTTTTTCGGCTGATCAGGCTTATAAGCCAGCTTTTTCACCAAACACGTAACTTTTGATTTCGCGCACTGAATTGTGTAATAAGCAGAAAAAGTAAGGTTGTAGTTACTTTTCTGGCTGTATTGGCTGAAGTTACTGTAGAGGATCATTTTAGCTATTTTTTCATATAATTTTTTATTTTATTTATTAATAACAAATATTTTAAATATATTTTTTTCATGAATCAGCAGAATCAGCCAATACAGCCACTTCAGCCAGAACTTCATAAATTTCAGCAGAATCAGCCAATTCAGTCAATTTTTAGTGTTACCAAACAGACTCTACATCTGTTGGTAGTTCAATGCTTCATCAGCTATACCGAGAACTCTAGTTGAAACTTGAAATATAAAATATAAAACAAGCTAGCCCTTGACCATATTTGTAGCAACTTGCCACAGTTATTACTAGATGACTGCAACCGCCACCTAGGGGTTAGTGAAACTAAGAATTGTTAGAGCTGCTGCAGCTGCATTCTCTGATTTTGTGATCCGTGGTCTAGAGACAAATAAGTATCTAAGTAGCACGGAAACGGGAAACGTCGGAAACGTCATTTACCAAAAATAAAGGACACGAAACGCGGGGAAACGCGCAAATATTAAAAATATAGGGTTAATTTATAAATATTATATATTTATATATTTGTGAATTTTTTTATATGTATATATATATTTAAACACACATATATGTACAAACATGCCACACGAGATTATGTCACCATAAGGAAGTCTAAAATTATTGAAATCTTAGTCATCAAAAGTATTGAAATCTTAGTCCATAACAAAACATTAAACACAAAATCCATAAAAACAAATTAAATTGTAGTGGAGGCATCTTCCACGGGATCAACATCTTCATTAAAAAAGACATGTTCAAGATCAGGTTCATCGAGTGATAGATTTGCAAACTCAAGAACACCAACATCTTCCAAGCTTGCAAATTGATCCCCACCAACATCCCACATCTTAGTGTTCTCATCTTCATACTGGGCAGAATTTCTTGAAAGTAAGCGTAGATTATTGTGAATGAACACCAAATCTTCTGCACACTTCGGATTTAATTTGTTCCGTCTTAATGAATGGATAAAGGAATAAGTACTCCAATTTCGTTCACAACAGGATGAAGAGCTAGGTTGTCCAAGCACTTTAAATGCCAATTTTTGAAGTAATTGTGCACCTGATCCATACACTGCCCACCACTTTCTAGGATCCGTATCACACATAGCAGCAATACAATCCGGGTCGCTAAACGGACCAATCTTCAAAGAGAAATTAGCATATTCATCAATAGCCTTAACACGCTCTTCAGAAGGAAAAATTCGCCTAAAACACTTATTTCTCTCTAATGAAAGTTCATTATCCATATGTGGAGACGATCTCCCAACTCCTTCCTGGATCCATTGATCGCTATAATACCTACAATTTATAAAACAAGTACATAATAATATATAATTATAGGACTTAAATAAATAGCTACTAGGGGAATTAAATTAAAACATAAATAAATACCGCGGATTTAAGGAATGAGCTAAGCAATGAAGCGGGGTGTTGTTCTTCGTCCAACGTTCACTCAACTAGAATGCGATGAACAACATAGTAAAAGGGAGAATATTCACCATATGTTTTTCCTTCATGCGCAAAGATAGTCATTCTCACCTTTTCATCATTGAGTCCCACATCTCGTAAACCAAATGGAGGCATGGTTTGTCAGTATCACAAATTCTAATCATATCATACATAGGCCCAGTGAACTGCAATATGTAATCAACCTTCTCCCACCAACCTTCATCTAAAATCTTTTCTCGCACAAATTTAGCCTTTCCTTGATCATCATCTCGATATTCTGCCCATTCATCACTCAAAACCATTGCTTCTAAAGCACGTCTCAAAATTTTAAACCTCTTAAGCATGACAATAATAGAAGCAAAACGAGTATCAGCTACTGAAAGCAACTTCAAAGTGCTAAATCGGCAGAATATAGAAAGCCTCATGGAATGGTTCATTATGAAATTTTTGATGTGCACCGCATCTCTATGAACTTCTGTGATCCAATGACACTCTTCATACGTTTCTGCATTTGTTAACACATCTTTTGCCGCACAGATGTTCTTTAAGGCAAGGTTAAGAGTGTGAACAACACAAGGAGTCCAATAAATATGCGGAAATAGACCTTCAATAATTTCTCCAGCTGCCTTGCAATTTCTAGCATTATCGGTGATTACTTGAATGACTTTGAGATCACCAATCTCATTAATAACATCTGTCAATATATTAGCAATGAAATGCTTATCTTTTACCTCCCCTGAACAATCGACAACTTTGATAAACATTGGGCCAGCTTCACAAACAACCATCACATTAATTAGTGGCCTCCTTTGCGGATCACTCTATCCGTCACTAACTATGGTCACACCTTTTTCATATCAAGTGCTTTTATAGGTTGCAAGCACATCTCCACGTGTGCTTTCTCCCGTTGAAGTAATGTAGTTCTCAACTTATTATAACCAGGAGATATATATCCACCCAAATTATGATTAGCAGCAAAAGTATATGAGCTAATATAATATGGGTTTCTTGCAAAATCGAAAGGAATACCTCCGGTGAAGAACATCCTTGCAATCTCTTCGTCTAGCTGATTCCTAGTTTGCAAATCAAAAGCTTTGGAAATGGGTGAGTCATCGACTCTTCTTCTTTTCAACATCTCTAAACGACTTGGTTCATTTATCGATAAATATGTTGAGCTGCTTTGCGTGCTACTACTAGGCAAGGATACTCGCTTAGGTTGTGAACCAACAATTTGCTTTGCAGCATCTTCTTCAAGCTTTTTCATTTCTAAAATGCTCTCCGGCCCAACCTTTGGACATACAGCAATTCCTTTTGAAGGCAGTTTGAGTAAATGAGCTCTCACTCTAGTGTATGTCCCCTGTTTTTGGCTACCACAAAAGTTGCAAATTCATTTCACATTACCACCTCCATCACCAGTTTTTTGGAGTCTTTTAACAAATTGCCACAAAGGACTACTTACATCCTCTTTAAATTGTTGCATTGACGTATTATTAACACTGTCCTCCATCACTAGAGAATTAAAAATAATCTAAGTTAATCAAAACTTAATCAAATTGAATTAATCTAATTAAAAACTTAATTGCATATACAAAAACTAATTAAATTGAATTATAAAACATTTAACAATTCAAATTTAATCAATTAAAAAAGCTGCCAGAAGCACAGAAGGATTACGTTTGCCAATTGCCACTGCCCACTAAGCGTGCGTTTCATTTTTACGAAGGAAAAAGGCATAAATCCATTAGCCACTACAATATCCAATAGGCAATAGATAAAACGACTGGTTTTAATAAAACCAGAAAAAATATACAGATTTGCTTCATTCACAAGAATTGTAGTACTGTCTTATAAATCAATTCAGCTCTATGTAGTCATCGACTAAATGAACTCACTGCCCACTAAGCGTCTGTTTCATTTTTACGAAGGATGGGGAGGATGAAAAACCTAAACCAGTGCTCTGAAATCACATATACCTGAATGGAAGCCTGCGGACGAGTGGACGACCTTTGCGGCTTTGCCCTTTGGAGAAGCCGGCGAACTCTGCAGAGTGCGGACAGAAGGAAGACTGCGTAATCGTAGGCCTTAGGGTTGAAGAACGAAGAGCGGACGATGAAAGGTTTGATTGTTCCGTTTGAGCAGGCCCTTAAATTGATCGGATATGTGTTTAAAATTGGGAAACGGCCCAGATTCGCGTATCGCGCGTTTCCTGCGCTCGAAAACGTTCGAACGTTTCCGGAACGGGGAAACTCCCCGCCCCCTGCGTTTCCGTGCGTTTCAGATAAGTATTACCTAACTGAATGAAGTATTACCTATTTGGTACTGATGCCAAAATTTGGCAGACACCTATAACGCTTACTTAATTAAGTATATACCTTTCAGGATGTGATCATGCATTTTATCAATAAAAGAAAAGTAGGGAAGGGTATAGAAACTGAGGAACAAACACGTCAGTATTTTTAATTCCGACCAGGGAGGAAAACCTTTAAAATAACGATTAACTTAACATTATAGTGTGTTTTTTTATTTTATGCTTTTAACTTACAGCTTGAGATACCAATCCCAAAATGAATGCCTTCATAAATTATACAGAGTACATTGAGAGACAAGTGAGCAATACAAATCGTGATTTGGACAAACTGCAAGAGCAAGTATACACCCAATGCTTCATGAAGAAATAGTTTTTTGTAATGATGCATTCACTTTCTTCCAGTTTTAGACCAGATTAAACAGACTTTAATCAAATTTACACGATAGTAAAATACACATATGATATTCCTTTACCCGACCAGACTTGAACAACCTAACCAAAATTTCCAATCAAAATGAAAACATCCAACTCATTCACATCATAACTTTGAAAATACACATCTATCAACCAACTAAACAGCATACGTATACATTTGTCACCATCTTTTATCCTTGAATATGAAAATTGGGTCAAATTTAGTCCACAAACAGGTATATATTTGATAATTCTCAACAAGAGAGAAATATTTGTCCATTAACTAAGTATAGGGCTCTATTTGATCCTCCAGTATGTAATTTGGGTCCAATTCAGTCATCAACATCCCAAAACACCATTCTTATTTAGGGATCAAAATCATCAAATCATCAAATTACATTATGGATGACCAAATCAACTAATATCGTATATCCAACGGACCAAATCCAGTATTAGCTTTTGCTGCTCAAATAGTTGAATGTCCAAGCACATAAAACGCCCGACCATGTCACCATTGGCATACTTCACAAAAGAGCAAACTATACATAGAGAGAGGCAAGCAAATGGAGAACTAACCAGTTGCAATAGATTCTATCTTATGCCCTCTAGAAAGCCTTCCAACTCTCTACGCCCAAAGGTCCTCCCTAGCAATGAGGCATCCATCGACCTTGCAGCCAAATAAAACACTAACCAAGCAATCATGAAGTAGACTTCCATGACCGACTGGAATGCCATTGCATACACTTCCCCAAAAATTTCTCCCAATATCCATTTGGTCAACGACCCACATATCATGGCCTCCCAACCCTTGATCTCAATGGCAGGTCCTAGTAAGGTGCCCAACAAATGACACCCTTCTTTCACAACCTCCCTACCACTCTTTCTCGAATCCACAACTGCAATCCATGAATCTACAGCAAAAATAAACCCCACCAACAACTCAACCAAGAACCATGAGAGTATAAAGCATAGAGTTTCCTTTTCGTGCCCCTTAACCCATGGTGCTACATCAGAAAATGGCATCAATTTCATTCTAATGGAGATCTTCAAGAACTCATATTGATCTTCGATTTCACCAAAAGACCAAATTCCAAGTAACTGTGACAATGCATCCCTAACTGCCCATCTCATTAGAACGAATCCGGAAAGCCTTCTGAGGCCTAGATTAGCACCATCCCAGGAAGTCCTAAAAAGGGATTTGTAATAATTGCCCAACAGATTATCCACTACCTGAACAAAAACGATGCCATGCACCCAAGTGTATGTGACCAAGAATGCAAAGACCGCGTAACTGTAAGCAGCTATGAATAGCCCCAATAGAAAAAGCAGCTTCGTCACATCGTGGCGGCCAAGCTCGAGACCCTTCACCAAGAACTGCAAATCAACAAATAGTGTATCGTCATTGGGAGCATCAATGAGCATTGTAGAATTATCATCGATTCCTAGGGATTCAGATGAAGGCTTGAAGGTTACGAAGCCAGAGCGAACGGATTGGGGAATAGCAATTCCGTTGTCGACAATGGGGTACGAAAACCCAAACCTGGGGTCGAAATTGGAGAGAATTACGGAAGTGGCATTAGGGGTTTGCTTGGAGGAAGGGTGGAATAGGGAGCGGTCGAGGTCGCCGGAGAGGAAGTCGTCATTGAGAGTGCCGACACGGGTGAGGTGAAGAAAAGGACGGCGGTGGGGATGGAGGCGAAGGTGGTGGGCGGAGGAGGCGGAGAGATCGACGCGAGAGAGGAGGGATTTGAGAGAAGGATCGCGGTCGATGAAAGAGGTAAGGAAGTGGGCGCCGTTGTGGACGTTGGAGCGAAAAATGAAGATGAGAGAGGACATGAAGAGGAACAGAAAGAAGTGGGAGAAGAATATGGAGGCGGCGTGTCTGAGGAGCTGGGCAGCGGTATGGTGGTTTATCGGTGACGATAGCGGGCGTTGGAGGCGGCGGCGGCGGCCGTCGTTCATTCTGGCTGGCGTAGTGATTTAGATTAGATGAGAAAATGAGTGGAAAAGGCAGGCAGAATGAAATTTTCTATTCCCTAAATCATCTGCTCCCTCTTTCCACTAAACTAGCATCACCCGTTCATATGTACGGCGAAAAGCATTCGGTTCATATATATTTACATACGATTTATTTAAATATTAAAATAAAAGTATTTTGTAGAATTCATCACTTTTGAAAAATAAGAGTACAATAAGCTAATACCATAAAGTATAAGCTTATTAAATAGTGATGGATAGTCTACTCGGGGTATATATCCGAAGGGTTATTACGGGGAGTAATCTAGAGAGAAGTCAGAGCAAGTAAATATATATAGAGAAGAGTGTATTATAAATGTGGAGCGTTTTCAGCGTGGTTACAAATGAGGAAATGGGGTGCTATTTATAGCAGCAATAAATGCCGGGCAGGGACACGTGTCGAGCGCTCATTGGCCGAGGGGTCACCTCAACTGGTTGGCGCTGGCAGCCGCATGTGGCCGCATTTAATGCGGCTGTTGGATGGGACGTCTGTGCAGAGTACGGTGATCTGTACGCATGTGAGGCGGATATCTTGTCGAGTGAGATGCCT